CAAGCTCTGGACGATTGTATTCACTTTCCTCTTAGACATCTCATCTGTATGTCCCACAGGCATCTGAAATCCACAGGGGCAAATCAAATTTGTGTCTTACCCAAAGGCTTTTCTTATATTTGCCAACCTAAATTTCCCAATTTAGTGACTATCAAGAGCTTCTCTCCAGTTGTCTAAGTCTGAGATGTTCTAATAATTTTGAGTCTTCTCTATCAACCATATCCATTCAGTTACAGCATCATATCAATTTTTCTTCCCAAATAGTTCTTGAATCAACCCCTTCTCCACAATACCCATTGCCACTGCTTTTGTTCCCATCACCTTCATTTCCTAGTAACTAGAAATCCTTACCATTTTATTTCTCTCAATGTGTCTGTCATACCACTCACTGCCAGAATTATCTTTCTAAAAATGACCTAATGTCAGTTCCTTAATTAAAACATTTCCATGGATCCCTGTTGTCTGTAAGAGGAATTCTAAGCTTCTTGGCATAGTTTATTACAGCCTTTATGGTCTGCCCCTAACTACCCCTCACCTTGTGCCCCAGGATTTCCCGATCACTCTTTGGGCTCCAGTCACACCCAGTTCTCTCCACATGCCAAGCTCTTCTGCAACTTCCTGTACTTGAATACCTGCATTGTGCCTGGAATATCCTTTCTCTACCTATCCGCAAGGGTCAGCTCAAAATCTTATGACCCCAATCCTAAGGCACCTTGTAGGAAGCACTGGATGTTTGGCCGATTTGGGTGCCTCGGGGGTCCAGGAAGGTAACATCAGTGAGTCATCGGGCTGTCACCATGACTGAAGCTGTGGCAACCTAAAGAGTGCTTGGACTGACTAAAGTCCTCTGTAGTGGACGTCGCTCATTTTGTTCCCTCACCACATTTGAGCACCTTTTCTATATTTCTATCATTTCCACACAGTGAAAGTCCTGCCAGAAAACCAGGGGGTGCAGATATGAGACCAGAGTTTCACCGACGAGAAGTGCCCTCATGAAACGTTATCTGGACATGAGTGGTATGAGTGTGGGCTGTGCCATGGCATGAATGTTCTGGTCGGCCTGACAGTGAGGGCATCGGGTTCTGTGGATGGCCGTGCTTCAGCATCACGGGTGCCAGGCAGTAACTGCGGCTTGCTCTGCTAGAGAAACGTCTGGGATGCAACTGGGCTCACTTCTGGCTGTGAACTTTCAGAATCAACCTCTCTGGCCCTCCTGGGAAGTCTCTGAACTACCCAATACCCTTTAAATACATTTCTTTTCTGCTTAAACTAGCTAGAGTGGATGATGTCATTTGTACCTGAGAATTCCTGATTGAAGGATAATCAGTGAAAATACACACACTCTCACACACTCGCACAGTCTGACACACACACTCACACACTCACTCACACACACTCATGCACACACACACACTTGCACACTCACGCACTCTCACACACTCACACACACTCATACACACTCACACTCTCACACACTCACACACTCTCACACTCACACACACATACACACACACACTCACACACACACAATCTATATTTCTTTCTCTATTGTATTACTCTTCTATTGCTGCTGTTACAAATGACCACACAGTGACTGGCTTAAAACAACATAAATTTATTACTCTATAGTTCTGTAGGTCAAAAGTCTGACACAGGTCTCACCAGGCTAAAATCAGGGTGTCAGCTGGGATGCACTCCTTTCTGGAAGCTCCAGGAGAGCATCTCTTTCCCATCCCTTTCCAGTTTCTAGAGGCCACACACTTCCCTTGGCTCAGGGCACTCATCCCCCACCTTCAAAGCCGGCAACAGCAGGGCAGGTATATTTCACGCTTCAGACTTCTCCTGCTGCTTCTTTTGTCCTCCGCTCTCTCTCTGGCTGACTGAACCTGGAAAAGGTTTTCTGCTTGTAAGGACTTCTGTGATTAGACTGGACCTACCTGGATAATCCAGGATAATCTCCCATCTCAAGGTCTTCAACCTTAATCACATCTGCAAAGTCCCTTTGGCCATGTCAGGTAACATATTTACAGGTTCCAGGGATTATTCTGCATAATACTGCTTGATATTATATATATACATGTATATGTGTATATATGTATGTGCATGTATGTATATATTTCTCCACACACACTACTTTCTCTGAAAATGCTGGAATTGACTCATGCATCATGTATGTATATCTGACTCACATATCCTATATGTATATTTGACTCATGTATGATGTATGTACGCATGTGTCAGGTATGTATATCTCCCCACATTTCCAGAAAAATTTTATGAATCCTGGTATTTATGTCTGTCACCCACAGTTGACTGTATGCCTCAGGTCTTAACTTATCTTCATGTTTCCAGCACATAATTGATGTTTACAGAATAGGTTGTTGACTGTAACAGCAACCAGATGAACTTTTCTGGAAAGCTATGTCGCCTTTCCTACCCGTCTCTGCGGGAGTGGCCAAGGCTGGCCCAGTGTACATGTGGTCCTGGCCAGCAGGCAGCTCCTCCCCGCTCCCCCAGTGCTGTTGTCCTTGGGTACTTCTCCAAGGCACTTTCTCTTATGTACATGCACAGCTGTTACGCCAGCACCTGGGAAATGTCACACCTCATATCTTTAATTTAATTATTCCTCCAACGTCCTAGGGAGGTGAGGCCGACTCAGATGCCAGATGCAAAGATGGAGACACAGGGGGTCTTGGACTTTTCCACAATCCCCAAAGGGGACTCTGGAGAGGCCAAGAAAGGGTACTGCTGGCTTGTTGCTCAGGCTTCCCTTGGGAACCCGCAGCTTTCCTTCCTGCCATCCCCAATCTGTCACACGGTAACTGGGTTCGGTGGTGGAAAGACAGACTGTGAGGACGAAAGGCAAAGACATCTTTGAGAAGCCCAGGGGCACTTGTCAGGAACAGCACATCTGGCAGTGCTTCAGACTAAGGCTGGCCTAGATTCTGTGATGAAATAAACAAACATGGTGGATGCCTGTAACTCATGGAGGGGTGGTTAGAGATCTCAAATGACTTCCTACTGCTCTTAGGATAAAGTTCCAGAACCTTAACAAACCTTGCGTGATCTGGCCCCTGCCTCTCTCGCCAAGATTTTCCTGGCTCTCAGCAGCCCAGCCAAGCTAGTCATCTTTCAGTTCTTCAAAGTGGCCATGCCCTGTGCTCATGCCTCTGTCTCTCCATGGACCATTTTCCTCCATTCCCTTTCTTATTCTTCCATCTAGCCAACTCAAAGCGCACTGCAGGTCTCTGCTTAAAGTCACTTCTTCATGGAAGGCTCTCCAGACACCCTAGGCTAGGTTAGGTTCCCTTGCTATATAGTCTCATAAAACACATCACAATTGTAATGAACTAATTAATTGTCTGTAGTGACGTGATTACTACTTTAAGGTCAGTCTTTTCTCTTTAGACTATAAACTCCACAGGGAACTTATCTTGTTCACCTCTTTATCCTCATAGGATAGCATAGTGCTGGAATAGGGTTGGTACTTAATAAGCATTAGGAGATATACCTGATGTAAATGATGAGATAATGGGCGCAGCACACCAACATGGCACATGTTTATGTATGTAACAAACCTGCACGTTGTGCACATGTACCCTAGAACTTAAAGTATAATAAAAAAATACATAAATAAAAGAAGAATTTATTGAATTAATAGCTTTCTAATAAAATTCCACCAATATGCTAAGGAAGATATTACTGGAGAGATTAGGAAGTGGTACATTTCCAATTCTACTGCAAATTCTGAGGCCAAGCGCTTCATCTTACATTATTTAATTCCCCCAAATTTTATCTCCCTCATTCCTTCTTCCTAAGTACTAGCAATTATTAAACACATGCTCGATGACAGAAGGAAGAGAACTAAGAGTATGCTGTTGAGGGGATGGAAACTCAAGGAGCAGGCCTGGGTCTAGGGCTGGTTTTGTTAATAACCTATGAGACGACTAGCAAGTTATTCGACTTGCATGTGCTTCACCTTTAAGCTTGGCTTGTGCCTCCGTACTGTTGCTCTCCGGGCCAGGAAGAGAAGGACCTCCCCATCTCTGTGCTTAAAGGGGGAGGGGTGGTGGACACATAGATTCCCATGAATGTGCATTGAGAAATCTTAACTTTGCTCTCCAACTTTGTAAAAGAGCAGAGAGAGGAAGTTAATCAAGGGAGGATGAACTCAAATGGTTAGGGAAAGGTGGGAAGGCAGCATGAGTGCTCTGAAAAGTTGGAGCTGGTAGGGATCATAGATTTCGTCTGGTGCTGCAGGTGCATAGTTTACAGGTGAGGCCCTTGAGGACCAGATAAGCTCATCGGTTCATCCAAGATGAGTGACTAAGCCAGGACTCAGATCCACCTCTTTAGATGTCTAAGTCAGTGCTTTTGTTTCTCTGTCATTTCCTCCATCCACTCTGATGGCTTGCACTGGTCAGCTCAGGCTTCGAATTCCTGCTTCTGCTGAATCAGTTCACTTTGTGGATCACCTGGACAACCTGTGCATGCCTGGTCTTATCCTCACTGTTACTTCTGGCTGGATGTGACTCCTTCCCTCCCACCAAGTGGTATCATCACAAGGCTGGTGTACAGCTATCTCTAAGTGAAGGCTTAGGGCCACGGAGAGGGTTTCCATTGCAGCATCACAACTTTACTATATTAATAGACACCTTGTTCTTCAATGTTCTTGGGCATTTCCTGCTGACCACTGTTCCCAGCAAGAGACAACCCTAAGCTATGCGACACAGGTCTCTCTCTCCCATCTTCTCTCTCATCTGACTCTAAGCCCTAATGCTTTTATGAGCAAAAGAAATCTAACTATGTCTTTGATGGTCTCCTTTCAGACTAAGCCCTTGGGGCCCATGTTCTGCACTTGGTAGGCATTGCAGGGTATTTTCCTAACCAAAGGCAGTTCTCTTCCCTAGATAGACTTTATCTAGTGTCATCGGTGTGGATGTGTGTGTCTAAATATATTATGGCCCTTTTTAAAACATTTTCTTAATTTTTCTTTTTAGGTTATTTTAATGTACAAGATTCTTTTAGAGGAAGATAAAAGCTCAGAGGAAGATCAGGAAGAGAGAAATGTCCATGGTCATTGTAGGCAGATGAGGAGTATGCTGGAGAAAGTAGAAATATTGGAGACACCTGGAAACCACAGAGTCAAGGAAAAGGCAAAGCCCAGATTAAAGGTAGTGTCTGAAGTGGGTGCTGGTGGTGGGGCACATAAGGCCAGGCTTTTGGGGTTGGGAGTAGGGTGAGGGGTGGAGTAGCTGAAGCCCCTGAGATGGGCACTATGTCAGATGGAGATTGGGCAGGGAGGAGAGGATTCATTGAACCAATGGGACAGAATCCCACCCTTACAGCTGTGGCTGCAGCTGCCAGGGACTGACTGCCAAGTACCATTAAACAGGACCTTGGGAGGCACATCAAGGAGGCCTGGGAGTTGGAGGTCTAAATAGAGCACAGAGATTTTGTTAGGCCATTCTCATCAGACATGGTGAACATGGTCAGGGGTTGGTGGCAGCAGTGTGAATAGGAGGTGGGGTATGGGAGGATGGGTGGTGGTGGGTGTTCAGAGGAGGGTCATGACCGTTCAGGGTCTTTATTGCTTCCTTCCAAGACATGGGTGGGAGAATGAAACTGGATCCTCAACTCAAGATCAATCAAGGACTTAAATCTAAGACCTGAAACTATGAAAGTTCTAGAAGATAACATTGGAAAAACTCTTCTAGACATTGGCTTAGATGTTGACATGGATGTGGTGAAAAGGAAACACTTCTTCACTGCTGGTGGGAATGTAAGCTAGTACAACCTCTATAGAAAACAGTGTGGAGATTCCTTAAAGAACTAAAAGTAGTACTACCATTTGATCCAGCAATCTCACTACTGGATCTCTACCCAGAGGAAAGGAAGTCATTATACGAAAAACATCCTTGCACATGTGTGTTTATAGCAGCACAATTCGCAACTGCAAAAATATGGAACCAGCCCAAATGCCCATCAATCAACAAGTGGATAAAGAAATTGTTGTATATATATATGATGGACTATTACTCCGCCATAAAAAGGAATGAATTAATGGCATTTGTAGCTACCTGAATGAAACTGGAGACTATTATTCTAAGTGAAGTAACTCAGGAATGGAAAACCAAACATCGTATGTTCTCACTCATATGTGGGAGCTAAGCTATGAGGATGCAAAGGCATAAGAAAGATATAATGGACTTTGGAGACTTAGGGGGAAAGGGTGGGAGGGGTATGAGGGATAAAAGACTAAACATTGGGTTCAGTGTATACTGCTCAGGTGATGGGTGCACCAAAATCTCACAAATCACCACTAAAGAACTTACTCATGTAACCAAATACCACCTGTTCCCCAAACCCTATGGAAAAAAGAGGTCTAGCCCAAATGGGAAATACTCTCATTTGTTTCCAGAAACTCCTTCTGTTTTGTTTCCAGCTGTCTCAGGCATGGGCAGAGTATGCTACTCAAGAAATCACAGAGCCTAAGTCTCTTTCATGTTAATAATTATAATAATAGCAAATATTTAAAATGCTTTACATATGTTTTCTCATAATACATTTATGAAGAAGGTATTATCCCTATTTTACAACTGAAGAGACTGAGACACAGAAAAGTTAGGGAACTTGTCCAAGATCACACAGCCACCAACACTGGAGCTGGGAATCCAACCTCAGTCTGTTTAGCATCAGAGTCAAAGTACTGAACCACTACACCCGCCGCCTTTGAGTAGACACTTGAAGAAGCATAAACTGTATGTGTCTGGGTAAAAGATAACTTTTCTCAATCAGAAAGATGGCAAAAGAAATAGTTTGATAACTTTGGATGTATAAACCCTTAATCAAATATAAACTTATAATCTTAAGTTAATTATTTATGTAAAAATTATGTAGAGTTGTGCCAGTTAGGGTTCTGAGTTGCAAGAAACATAAATGGACTCTGGTTAATGTAAGGGGTAATGAAGGACAGGAGAACCAGGAGAGAGAACAGAGCTCGACCCTGGCACAGCTCCCAACTTCATGTCATGAGGGTGCTCCTGACCAGGCTTGCACTGCTGTTGCTGGAGATCCCAGACCTTGAACACTGCTGTTGGTCCTGATAGCATTGAAGTCAAACACATATTCAGAAAAATGTATAAACATAAATACAGCTCAATGAATTGACAGAGTAAACACACCCTTGAACCTAACACCTATCAAGATACAGAACCTTACCAGCACTCTATATGAAGAGCTTCTGTGTCAACGAATATTTGAAACCATTTCCCAAAGTGGTGCCAATTTATACTTCTACCAACAAGATAGTACCAGGCTTAACCTGGTACTACTCTTGTGTTCATTTTAGCCATTCTGTTGGATTTGTGGTGGTGTCTCATTGTGGTTTTAATTTGAATTTTTCTGATAATTAGTAATGCTGGGAAACTTTTAACATCAAATTGGCCATTTGAGATTCTCTTTTATCTATTTCTTTTCTATTGGGTTTCTGCACTTTCCTTATTGCTTTATACAAGTTCTTTATATATTCTGGATGCAAGTCCTTTGATAGATAACTATTGGAAATATCGTCTCCTACTCTGTAGCTTATGTTTTCACTGTCTTATAATATCTTTGAACGAAAGTTCTTAATTTAACATGGTCCAATTTATTGATTTTCTTCTCTTTAATGTTAGAGCTTTCAGAATTCTATTTAAGAACTCTTTCCCTATTCCAAGGTCAGGAAGATATTCTCCTATGTTTCCTTCCAAAAGCTGATTTTTTTTTTTTTTTTTGCCAGGGTATTGCTTCTGAAAGTGATCTTTAAATGTTTCAATTATGATAATAAACAGTTTCAATTCCTCTGAGAAGAATTACTAAATCTGTGTTAAAACGTTTTGTCTTCTTTTAAATAGATCATGTCAGATTTATGTCAGATTGCATCAGAGCACCAAATACTAGCAATAGTTGAGATCATTTAAGGCTAGTGGGCTTTCCCCAAACAATTTTTAGTGTTTAAAATGCAGTAATTAAGCAAGAGTTTCATGGGTACAGGAGAAACTTTCATTTTATAATTGAGTAAAAAGGACGTAGATCAAATCCCTTTTGGTTTTAAATGTTAAAAGGTTGACTCCTAGTAGCTTACGAGGTGAAAAAAAGATGAGACAGATGGGAATTGAGCTGGTTCTAAACCCTAATAACTAGGAAGGACAAGATGGATCTGCTTTCAGGCACCACTGGATCTAGGTATCAAAGCAACATGTCAGGGCTCTGCCTCTGTGTCTCTCTACATCTTTAGGTGTGCTTCCCTCTGTGTTTTGGCTTCATTTTGGTGAGGAAGAAAGAAGGCAACTAGCAGCTCTAAATCTATATTATGATAATTTACAAGCTAGGAAGAGAGACTCTTTTCTCTGCATTCATATGATACTACATTTCAGAGAAGGTTTTGACTGGACTTCTTTGTGGCATATGCTTATCCTTGAACCTGTTACTGTGGTCTTGGAAATGGAATGCTCTAACAGATCAGCCCGGGTCATATGCCTAGCCTATGACAATCCGGGGGAGGAGGTCAGGGTTACTGCCATGGATGGCCCACTTTGCATGGAGGATGGGTAGTTCTCCAGTAGGCTAGTGAAGCACTATTTTCAAGCCTGTACTGAAATTTATTTCTGTTAAATTAAAGTGGCAAGAAAAGGAAGAATCTTTCAGTTCCAACTGTTTCCCTAGTTTTCACGGCATTTCTGCTTCTTATAGATTTCTGTATGACAGGAGCTGTGCTAGGTGCTGGGGATACAGACATGAAAAGCCATTTTTATGCCTTTACATTCCGCACAAACTTTTAGCTGGATGGAGCCATCAAAAGACAAATGCGAGACAGTGTGACGTTTGCAATATGAGGCCTATGCACATTGCAATGGATGCAGCTAGTGGTGTCTAGGGAGTCCTAGATGAGGAGCAAATTAAGCCAACTTTTAAGTGGTGAAGTTTTCTGGTAAATAAATAGAGAAAGGGCAAGGGTGCCTTCTAGGCAAACAGAACAATTTGCAAGGGCAGAGAAGCACAACAGAGCAGGACCTGTCCAATGGAGACCCAAGTTCGGTGCATTCACATAGCCAAGATCCCTTTGGCATTGCCAGCTCCATCCATGCCAGATGAGGCACAGGTGCTGGCATTAAAAGGGCCAGCAGAGGATGGCATCTTCAGTAGGCAACATTAAGGCCAGTGGAGGCTTTAGTCCCTAGAAGTGGCTGCATTTTGGCCACACCAAAATGGAGTCCTGTCTAAACAATCTGTTAAGGGCTTTTGGGAAGAGTGCATGAAAAAGCTGAACCCTCCCATAGCTTCTTATCAAAATAAGATGCCCACTGCTAAGCTGTTGCTACTTAGGAGCACTTTTACATTTGAGCTAAAATCAGTGCTGCCCCTTCAGTGAGGTCTTTCTCCTCCCCCTCTCTTTTCCCTCCTCCTCCTCCTTGTGTGTGTGCACACACATGTGTGTGTGCATGCATGCCTGCCTGCTCCAATGTCTTTCTCTCATTTTGAAGGGCTGCTTGCTCTGTGTCATGTTGACAAGGAGAAGACATGCTGGGGAAATGTTATAGCTGAGTGGTCCTAAGGGAGATAGCGTTGTGAAATGCCAAGCATGTGGGAAGGACATAGGTTCTCTGGGCTCTGGAGTGACTAAGCAAGTGTAAGCTAGGGGCTGTCACCACTGGTGTCCCTGAGACAGCCTTCGTGCTTGTCTCAGAGCAAGCTAAAGGCAGGCAGCTGTCATAAGGAAAGGGTGGGGTGAAGCTGTTTTTAAAATTCAGGGCTCAGCCTTGCCAGCCCTGGAAGCCCTGGACTCTGGGGATAATGAGGGCGACTGACAGGTGGGTTTAGGTTTAGGGAATCTGCAGCCTTTCCTGGGTCTAGAGAGGATAACTTCTCAACGAGAAAGGATATATTTGAATTATCCAAAGGGCTTTTGAGCTCACTCAGTAGGAGGAGCAGAAGTTGAAGAGAAGGTGTAAGTCAGTTACTTGAAATTTTCAGGACTCCTATTCCAGTTCCACTTTGGAATTGTCACTGTGGTTTTTCCAAGACCTTACAAATTCCCAGGAGCAAATGGACCCAACCATAGGTACTTCTGCAAAACCACAGTATCTGTGGGTTTTGGGTGGGGAGTGGTTGTTTCAGACATTTTCTGGGCCAT